TATAAGTACTACCTCTGTCAAACAGGCGGTATACCAAATAGATAAGAAACATATACAGTCCAACTTCCTATATACTTGTCACAAGTGGTATGCTAGGCATAAACATTATCACCTGGTAGAATATCAAAATAGGTAGATGCCTCTAAAAATGGGGAGTGCACTGCATTGCCTATGCACTTCCATTAAATCGCTAGTGGAGGTGGGGGACAGAAATCAACAATAATGTAAGAATATGTGGGAAATAGGGTCTCAACAAGTACACCTTACAAAAGAGAAGTACAAAGGTTGAGTTGGGACAATATCCCCCACCCAGACCAAAACTATTCCCCTTTGCTATTTTTGAGAGTAAATGTGAACCCAAATTGGGTTTGTGAATTTAGGTGTTGCGAAAAAAGATTGAAGTCAGGTGGATCATTTTGCTTCCAGGTTGCTGCTATCATCTTCCAAGCACTAATCTTGCAGTGTGTAATAAAAAAGAGCTTGTTGGGGAGGCCACTGCTCAGAGTTCAGGAGTAGGAGGACAATAGCAGGGTTTGGTTTAGTCATAGTTCCACTTACTGAAGAGATTAGGAAAAATATGAAAGCCCAAAAACAGGATAGTTTGGGGCATGACCACCTAATGTACAATAGTGTTCCCATGGAGCCATGTTCTCTACAATATGTTGAGGAGGATGTGGAGAAGATTCTGACGATACACGGAGGGGTGCAGTACCACCTAAGATTGAGTTTAAGGCAACATTCCCAATGGGAAGTACAGCTCATGTTTGTTAACAGTAGACTTGTGGCTCTACTTCATTGAGAGGGAAGGAAAGTTTGTGAGAGATCTTGTTCCCACTTCAGCATGGAGAAAGTTTTAGTCATATTCTGAGAACTGTTCAAAATGCGATAAGAGTAGGAGACACCTTTGATATTCTTACAGTTATCACTGTAGAAAACCAGAAGCTCAAGGGGAAATAAAACCCATCAAGAGAGAGTTTAAGATGTCCCTGAGACATACTGTCAAGCGTCTGCGGTAGTGAGTCCTTGTAGATCACTAGCTTGAGGTTCCCCAGGGCACAGAATCTAAGCCCCAGCATGCTTCTTCACCAGCGCCCCTGATGGTGGAGATGGATTTGCAGCAAGCTGGAACCAGCTTGCGGCCTCTAGGTATGCCCAACTGAGGATGCAGAGACCAGTTATACATGCAGAGTACAAACACCAAAGACAACAGTGTTGGAATACAGTGTTCATTTATTTTGTGTGACAACTATGTCAGTGTTCAGTAGAAATATATTCTTCAACCAGTAGCTGGCAGTGTTTATAAATCTGTAGCTGTAACTATGGTAAAACTCTGTGACTTTTCTCTGAATAAAGTTTCCTGTTTCTTTGTTGCAGTGAAACAGAAAAGCACAGGTGTACTGTCTGTTCTGCAGGGCTATATACAGAATTTCTAATAAAAAGGAAATCCAGGAGACAACTGAGCTCAGGACAGGCAGAAGGCAAGCACAGATGGTAGACAAAGCCAGGGTCTGTACACAGAAAGTCCGACACAGGATACACAAGCAGTAACAAATGAGGGCTCAAAGAACTGTGAAGTTGGACTGGACTGAGCATGTCTTATTTAGGAAAACAAACTAGGAGGCAGGCCAGGAAATGATGGAAAGGAAAGGAAATATAAACCCACAGAATAGCAAGTGATGCCAATAGATGAGCACAGAGCCAAACAACACATGTGAAGGAGTCACAGCACTAGGAGAAGCCCTGTTGCAAGGATGTAAGAATACACAAGCATGAAACCTGCAGGTTAACTTGTGACATATACACTCATGGGCCATTTTATTGTGTACACCGGTTCAATTGCTTGGTAACATGATTTGCTAATCAGCCAATTACATGGCAGCAACTCACTGTATTTAGGCATGTAGACATGGTGAAGACATTTGCTGAAGTTCAAACTGAGCATCAGAATTGGAGATTTAAGTGACTTTGAACATGGCATGGTTGTTGGTGCCAGATGGGCTGGTCTGAGTATATCAAAAACTGCTGATATACTGGGATTTTCACTCACAACCATCTCTAGGGTTTACAGAAAATATCCAGTGAGCGGCAGTTGTGTGGAGGAAAAAAGGAAAAGGAGCTTTGTTGATGTCAGAGGAAAATGGGCAGACTGGTTGCTGCAACATTTAGATGGTAGGGTCAAAACTTGGTTTAAACAACATGAAAGCATGGATCCATCCTGCCTTGTATCAACAGTTCAGGCTGGTGGTGGTGGTGTAATGGTGTGGGGGATATTTTCTTGGCACTCACAAGGTGTACCTAATAAAGTGGCCAGGAAGTGTGTAGATATTTAACGAAATAATGATTTGGGAAATCAAACTGTTGTTGCAATGCAGATCAAAAAAACATTGGGTGAGTTGATGACCTAGGTCCCTTAATTGATTTTCTCTATACTGTGAATATTGTGATTTATGCATATTCTCATACAGAGTTAGTGAGATCAGAAATCAAACTCATCCACTTTTGTTACTTCTGTGCCCCTAGTTTGATAAACACTCCTCTCATACACAGTATGCCTTGTACTTTAATGTACTCTTCTGCCTGAAGATCAGGATAAAATGGGCTCCAATTTGATTAAACAGCATGCCTGTAGGAGACAGATGAAGTCTTGTTCTGAGATTTAAACCAGCCAGGGGTGAACTGACCATTTGGAAACTCGGGCACTGCCCGAGAGCCCGGGGTCAGTAGGGAGCCCCATGAGATGCCCCTGGTACCTTTTTCATAGGCTTTTTGGAGTTTGGGCAAGGTCACAGGGGCCCCATGATCCCCTATTGCCCAGGGGCCCCATGAGTTGTCAGTCCGCCCCTCAAACCAGCTATATACCAGTAAATGTATTAACCAAAATTCATACAAACATGAAAATGATCAGTTCATTCAACTACTTGACGAATATTGTTCAAAAGTACTTTAACAATTTGCTCGCTTTTACCAAATTGGGTTCCATGCACACTAGTAGTTTTTTTTCTTTAGGCTCAAAAAATGCTGGATAAAAAATACTGGTAATAGCATTTTTAGTAGAATTGTTTGTAGCATTTTAGTAGCATGCAGAAGACTTTAGGAGTGTTTAGGAGCATTAGCATTTTATTAGTGTTTTTACAGTACATGTAGAGGAAAAAAAAAAAAAAAAAAAAAAAAAAATAGAAAAAAGCTGTTAGGAGCATTTTAGTTGCATTTAGCAGCACGTAGGAGCATTTAGCAGCATTTAGCATTTTTTTCTGCTTGAGAAACGCTCCAAAAAACTCTACAAAAACAATTTTTTTCTGCTCCTAGATGCTGAAACTCAAAAAAATGCTAATAGCTTAACATAATGTGCATGGACACATAGCATGCAACCATTTTGTTTCTAGGAGCAGAAAAAAATGCTAACAGCTTCTAGGAGCTTAAAGAAACACTAGTGTGAGCCTAATTTTAGAACTAATTGAATTTACTGAACAAAAACCTTATACATTGTTAGAAATTAGTTTGTTCAAGATAAAAGTTCCATTGTACTCCTTCAAACTTTCTGATCCACTGATGCCACTGAGGGTCCTTACTCAAAGCAGATTACCCACCCCAACATTTTCCCAACAATACCAGCTTTTCCAAGGGATACTGCAATCTCATATGCTTTTCCATTTGAAATTTGAAATCCTCATCTAATTATTATAATCAGTAAAAACACCTGAAACCTTTGCAGGTTTCAACTTTGACAAAGACAACAAATTACTTTTTTGGTAGTTTAACCCCTTACATTTTGTACAGGGCCTGCAGTTTCCCGAAATGGTCCAATCAGATCTATACTGGCAAAGTTTTCTTCTACGGTATTTTTTTTTATCTGTGCATTGCAGAGAGCTCCAGTTGATTGCTTAACTTCCAGAATTCTTATTCTAATTAAATATGACAGTTCAGTGTTGTATTAGAGAAAGGGTGATAATGTATTGAAATGATTACATTAGAGTTGATCATATTGTGAATATTGTATCTCACACATTTTTGGATTGCCATTCTCTGTAAGTAAAGATTGCCTTTTACATGCAATCCGACATTAAAAACAAAGTTGAAGTGTTGAACTAAGACTAAAAAACAGTGTAAGCTTTCAAAGCTGTGGACGAACAGTCTTGTTAAAATTTTGGAAAAGCTGAACATTGGGCTCACCCAGGTCAGGACCTGATCTACAATTTCTGCTCTCTTATGTCTCCACATTATATTTGATGAGGACAGGGTGAAGACATTTTTTAGTATCTGCCACAACTCTTTTCATAGTCATGTAAATTAGTGCAATTACAATATAAAAACACATTACATTTCAGAGGTGTCTGACAAGCAACAACAGGGTACATAGTTGTGCTGCAACACCAACTTTTACCAGATGTCACTCTAGATGAAAATATGAAATTACGGCTCTCAAAAATGGTGAAATCATGAAAGGCTCCTGAAGTAAAAAATGGTACAGAAAAGGGCAAGCAAACTTGCAAAGCACATTCTGGACCTCACATATGAAGAAAGACTTTAAGATTTTTTGAAGTAGAAGATGGGAAGCTATAATGGTCATCAGTCATCCTTATTTCAAGGTTTTAAGATTAAGTTAGAGAATATCAAGTTTCCTGTGATGGCTATGGTCACAGTAAGCACTTTAAGCTCTTTATTCATTTAGCATTAAAAAAAAATATATATATATTATATATATATATATATATATATATATATATATACACACAGTATCTCACAGAAGTGAGTACACTCCTCACATTTTTGTAAATAGTAGTAATATATATATATACACACGCACACTATATTGCCAAAAGTATTGGGATTCCCCTTCAAATCATTGGACTCATATGTTCCAATCACCCCCATGGCCACAGGTGTATAAAATCAAGCACATATATGTGGCAACTGCTTCTACATACATTTGTGAAAGAATGGGTCACTTTCAAGATTTCAGTGCATTCAAGCATGGTACCGTGATAGATTGGCCCCAGTGCAAAAAGTCCATCTGTGAAATGTCCTTGCTACTAAATATTCCACGCTCAAATGTTAGTGGCATTATAATAAAGTGGAAGCAACTGGGAAAACAGCAACTCAGCCACCAAGTGGTAGGCCACGTAAAGTGAAAGAGAGGGGTCAGCGCATGCTGAAGTGCACAGTGTGCAGAAGTCGACAACTGTCTGCAGAGTCAATAGTTAAAGACCCCCAAACTTTGTGTGGCGTCCCTAGTTACATAGTTAGTCTGGCTGAAAAAAAGACAAAAGTCCATCTAGTTCAACCATAAAAAAAAAAAAAGTTATAATCCTATACCCACAGTTGATCCAGAGAAAAAAAAACAAAGCATGATCCAATTTGCTCCTGCAGGGGAAAAAAATCCTTCCTGATCCCCTGAAAGGCAATCAGATATTTTGTGGAACAATTTTACCTATAAATGTTAGTATCCAGTTATATTGTGTGTATCTAGGAAAGAATCCAGGCCTTTTTTAAAGCAATCTACTGAGCTGGCCAGAACTAACTCTTGAGGAAGTCTATTCCACATTTTCACAGCTCTTACTGTGAAAAAACCTTTCTGTATTTGGAAGTTAAATCTCTTCTCCTCCAGACATAAAGAGTGCCCCCTTGTCCTCTGTGATGACCTCAGGGTGAATAACTCTACACCGAGTTCACTATATGAACCACTGATGTATTTATACATGTTGATCATATCCCCTCTTAATCTCCTCTTCTCAAGAGAGTATAAATTGAATTCTGTTAATCTTTCCTCATAGCTGAGCTCCTCCATGCCTCTTATCAGTTTGGTTGCCTTTTTCTGAACTTTCTGCCAAGTTCCCCAATATTCTTTTTGTGAATTGATGCCCACAACTGAACTGCATATTCCAGATGAGGTCTTACTAATGATTTGTACTGGGGTAAAATGATATCACTCTCTCTGGAGTCTATACCTCTTTTAATACAAGAGAGGATTTTGCTCGCTTTAGAAACCGCAGCTTGGCATTGCATGCCATTATTAAGCGTATGATCTACCGGAACTCCCAGATCCTTCTCCACCATTGATTCCCCCAGTTGTACCCCCCCTAGTATGTATGATGCATGCATATTCTTAACCCCCAAGTGCATAACTTTACATTTATCAACATTAAACCTCATTTGCCACATAGTTGCCCAATTAAACTGTGCATTGAGGTCAGCTTGGAAGTTGGAGACATGCTGTAAGGATGTTATTTCACTGCACAGCTTGGTGTCATCTGCAAAGACTGAAAGTGAAACTCCAGATTAGCACAACAACAGTGTGTAGAGCGCCTCATGGAATGGATTTCCAAGGCTGAGCAGCTACATCCAAGCCTTACATCACCAAGTGCAATGCAAAGCATCGGATGCAGTGGTGTGAAGCATGCCGCCACTGGACTCTAGAGCAGGGGTGTCCAAACTTTTTTGGAAGAGTGCCAGATTTGATGAAGTGAACATGTGTGAGGGCCGACCATTTTGCCCGACATTCTGATGAACCATTAACATTAAATGCAAATGAACTATTTTATGCAAAAGTTTATTGAAAACGGCATACTTTTCATTTTGTGACTTGGATGACAAATCTAAACAGGTGTTAAATCACTCTGCCAGCACAGGGAGAAGGAAAGCCCGGAGGTCGCGAGATTTGGGCTTTGTTTCTCCTTGCACTGTCTGATGACGTCAAGCGATCCTGAGCACCAATCCATTATAGCCCAAATTGATACCGTATTTTTCGCTCCATAAGACGCACCTGACCATAAGACGCACCTAGGTTTTAGAGGCGAAAAACAGGAAAAAAAATTCTGAACCAATGGACTGCAGACATAGTACAGGAGATGACCAGAGACTGCGGACACAGTACAGGGGATGACCAGAGACTGCGGACACAGTACAGGAGATGACCAGAGACTGCGGACTGCGGACACAGTACAGGAGATGACCAGAGACTGCGGACACAGTACAGGAGATGACCAGAGACTGCGGACACAGTACAGGAGATGACCAGAGACTGCGGACACAGTACAGGAGATGACCAGAGACTGCGGACACAGTACAGGAGATGATCAGAGACTGCGGACACAGTACAGGTGATGACCAGAGACTGCGGACACAGTACAGGAGATGATCAGAGACTGCGGACACAGTACAGGAGATGACCAGAGACTGCGGACACAGTACAGGAGATGACCAGAGACTGCGGACACAGTACAGGAGATGACCAGAGACTGCGGACACAGTACAGGAGATGACCAGAGTCTGCGGACACAGTACAGGAGATGACCAGAGACTGCGGACACAGTACAGGAGATGACCAGAGACTGCGGACACAGTACAGGAGATGATCAGAGACTGCGGACACAGTACAGGAGATGACCAGAGACTGCGGACACAGTACAGGAGATGATCAGAGACTGCGGACACAGTACAGGAGATGACCAGAGACTGCGGACACAGTACAGGAGATGACCAGAGACTGCGGACACAGTACAGGAGATGACCAGAGACTGCGGACACAGTACAGGAGATGACCAGAGACTGCGGACACAGTACAGGAGATGACCAGAGACTGCGGACACAGTACAGGAGATGACCAGAGACTGCGGACACAGTACAGGGATGACCAGAGTCTGCAGACACAGTACAGGAGATGACCAGAGTCTGCTGACACAGTACAGGAGATGACCAGAGACTGCGGACACAGTACAGGAGATGGTCAGAGACTGTGGACACAGTACAGGAGATAGTCAGAGACTGCGGACACAGTACAGGAGATAGTCAGAGACTGCGGACACAGTACAGGAGATAGTCAGAGACTGCGGACACAGTACAGGAGATAGTCAGAGACTGCGGACACAGTACAGGAGATGACCAGAGACTGTGGACACAGTACAGGAGATGACCAGAGACTGCGGACACAGTACAGGAGATGACCAGAGACTGCGGACACAGTACAGGAGATGACCAGAGACTGCGGACACAGTACAGGAGATGACCAGAGACTGCGGACACAGTACAGGAGATGACCAGAGACTGCGGACACAGTACAGGAGATGACCAGAGACTGCGGACACAGTACAGGAGATGACCAGAGACTGCGGACACAGTACAGGAGATGACCTAGAGTCTGCGGACACAGTACAGGAGATGACCAGAGACTGCGGACACAGTACAGGAGATGACCAGAGACTGCGGACACAGTACAAGGGATGACCAGAGTCTGCGGACACAGTACAGGAGATGACCAGAGTCTGCTGACACAGTACAGGAGATGACCAGAGACTGCGGACACAGTACAGGAGATGGTCAGAGACTGTGGACACAGTACAGGAGATAGTCAGAGACTGCGGACACAGTACAGGAGATAGTCAGAGACTGCGGACACAGTACAGGAGATAGTCAGAGACTGCGGACACAGTACAGGAGATAGTCAGAGACTGCGGACACAGTACAGGAGATGACCAGAGACTGCGGACACAGTACAGGAGATGACCAGAGACTGCGGACACAGTACAGGAGATGACCAGAGACTGCGGACACAGTACAGGAGATGACCAGAGACTGCGGACACAGTACAGGAGATGAGACCAGAGACTGCAGGAGATGACACTGTACAGGAGATGACCAGAGACTGCGGACACAGTACAGGAGATGACCAGAGACTGCGGACACAGTACAGGAGATGACCAGAGACTGCGGACACAGTACAGGAGATGACCAGAGACTGCGGACACAGTACAGGAGATGACCAGAGACTGCGGACACAGTACAGGAGATGATCAGAGACTGCGGACACAGTACAGGAGATGACCAGAGACTGCGGACACAGTACAGGAGATGACCAGAGACTGCGGACACAGTACAGGAGATGACCAGAGACTGCGGACACAGTACAGGAGATGACCAGAGACTGCGGACACAGTACAGGAGATGACCAGAGACTGCGGACACAGTACAGGAGATGACCAGAGACTGCGGACACAGTACAGGAGATGACCAGAGACTGCGGACACAGTACAGGAGATGACCAGAGACTGCGGACACAGTACAGAGATGACCAGAGACTGCGGACACAGTACAGGAGATGACCAGAGACTGCGGACACAGTACAGGAGATGACCAGAGACTGCGGACACAGTACAGGGATGACCAGAGTCTGCGGACACAGTACAGGAGATGACCAGAGTCTGCGCACGGACACAGTACAGGAGATGGTCAGAGACTGCGGACACAGTACAGGAGATGGTCAGAGACTGCGGACACAGTACAGGAGATGGTCAGAGACTGCGGACACAGTACAGGAGATGATCAGAGACTGCGGACACAGTACAGGGGATGACCAGGGACTGCGGACACAGTACAGGAGATGACCAGAGACTGCGGACACAGTACAGGAGATGACCAAGACTGCGGACACAGTACAGGGGATGACCAGAGACTGCGGACACAGTACAGGGGATGACCAGAGACTGCGGACACAGTACAGGAGATGACCAGAGACTGCGGGACACAGTAGAGAAGATGACCAGAGACTGCGGACACAGTACAGGAGATGACCAGAGACTGCGGACACAGTACAAGGGATGACCAGAGTCTGCGGACACAGTACAGGAGATGACCAGAGTCTGCGCACACAGTACAGGAGATGACCAGAGACTGCGGACACAGTACAGGAGATGGTTAGAGACTGCGGACACAGTACAGGAGATGGTCAGAGACTGCGGACACAGTACAGGAGATGGTCAGAGACTGCGGACACAGTACAAGAGATGATCAGAGACTGCGGACACAGTACAGGGGATGACCAGAGACTGCGGACACAGTACAGGAGATGACCAGAGACTGCGGACACAGTACAGGAGATGATCAGAGACTGCGGACATAGTACAGGAGATGACCAGAGACTGTGGACACAGTACAGGAGATGACCAGAGTCTGCGGACACAGTACAGGAGATGACCAGAGACTGCGGACACAGTACAGGAGATGACCAGAGACTGCGGACACAGTACAAGGGATGACCAGAGTCTGCGGACACAGTACAGGAGATGACCAGAGTCTGCTGACACAGTACAGGAGATGACCAGAGACTGCAGACACAGTACAGGAGATGGTCAGAGACTGTGGACACAGTACAGGAGATAGTCAGAGACTGCGGACACAGTACAGGAGATAGTCAGAGACTGCGGACACAGTACAGGAGATGACCAGAGACTGCGGACACAGTACAGGAGATGACCAGAGACTGCGGACACAGTACAGGAGATGACCAGAGACTGCGGACACAGTACAGAAGATGACCAGAGACTGCGGACACAGTACAGGAGATGACCAGAGACTGCGGACACAGTACAGGAGATGACCAGAGACTGCGGACAGTACAGGAGATGACCAGAGACTGCGGACAGTACAGGAGATGACCAGAGACTGCGGACACAGTACAGGAGATGACCAGAGACTGCAGACATAGTAAACAATGGTAAATGGTAGCCCCAGTAGTAATTCCCTGCGCACCACCTGGGATCCCTCGGCCCACATTCCGGACCCCACATATGAGCTGCCCAATATATAACTTACGGCCCTCTACTAGTGATTCTGCGAACGCCACTGGGGATTCCAGGGATCTGTCGAGCGGGAATTGACATCATCAGCTGGCACACAGAGAAGGAATGCCCAAATCTCACGAGATCTCGGACGTCGTGAGATTTTGGCTCTCCTTCCTGCTGATGATGTCAAGAAATCGCTGGAGTCCTCAGTAGCTTTCAGGGAATCACTACCGGGGGCCGTAAGTTATATATTTGGGTAGCTCACCTGTGGGGCCATTTCAGTCCGGAACGCGGGCCGCAATTGGCCCGCGGGCCGGACTTTGGACATGCCTGCTCTAGAGCAATGGAGACGTGTTCTCTGGAGTGATGAATCACACTGCTCTGTCTGGCAATCCAATGGATGTGTCTGGATTTGGCAGTTGCCAGGAGAACAGTACTTGCCTGACTGCATTGTGCCAAGTGTAAAGTTTGGCTGAGGGGGGGATTATGGTGTGGGGTTGTATTTCAGGGGTTGGCCTTGGCCCCTTAGTTCCATTGGAGGGAACTCTTAAGGCGTCAACATACCAAGACATTTTGGACAATTTCATACTCCCAAATTTGTGGGAACAGTTTGAGGATGGCCCCTTTCTATTCGAATATAACTGCGCACCAGGGCACAAAGCAAGGTCCATAAAGACATATATGAGCAAGTTTGGGGTGGAGAAACTTGACTGGGCAGCACAGAGTCCTGAACTCAACCCAATAGAACACCTTTAGGATGAATTAGAGCGGAGACTGCGAGCCAGGCCTTCTCGTCTGACATTAGTGCCTGACCTCACAAATACCCTTCTGGAAGAATGGTCAAAGATTTCCATAGACACCCTCCTAAACCTTGTGGACAGCCTTTCCAGAAGAGCTGAAGCTGTTAAATCTGCAAAGGGTGGGCCAACTCAGTATTGAACCCTATGGACTAAGACTGGGATGCCATTAAAGTTCATGTGCGTGTAAAGGCAGGTGTCTGAATACTTTTGGCAATATAGTGTATATATATATTTGGCAAGTGGAAAAAATGTGGGGGTGAGTGTGGCTAGGTCCGGCACTAGGATAGGAGGGGCAGTAAAGTGCACCTTTCCCTGAGAAAAATCTTTGCCTTATTCTGCCAACATTCCTCAGGTGCCTCTTCCTCCCCTTGCTCACCACCAGTGTTTTGCCCTCTCTCTATTCTCCCCACCACTCCATCTCTTCCCCTTCCTCTGCTTGTATTTCCTGCGCTGTCCATGCAGGTTCTGAGATGGGAATGTGTGGGTGGGAAATTCTATACAGAGGAGCCGACAGCTCCGGGATGCTTCTCAATGAGACAGCGAGTCAGGGACCATCCATGTGAGTCTAAACTTCCTTCCATTCCTCCCCTCCCTTCCTTCCTTCCTTCCTTCCTCCCCTCCCTTTCTTTCTCCTTTCCTTCCTTTCTTCCTTCCTTCCTTCCTTCCTTGCTTTCTTCCTATCTTCCTTCTTCTTTCATCTCCTCCCCTCCCTTCCCTTCCTTTCCTTCTTCCACTTCCTTTCCTTCCTTCCTTCCTCTTTTTTTTTTTCCTTCCTTCTTTTCATCCTTCCTTTCCTTCCTCTTTTCCCTTCCTTCCTACCCACTCTTCCTTCCTTCCTGTTGCTTTGGCTGCTCTACTCACTTTTTTGGCATTCTACTATCTGTAGGTGGCACGGATTAGCACAGTGTAGTTTTCCTATTTTTGTGGCATGGGATAGGGAATTAGGGTAGCTGTGGCGAGTTTAACACATCACATGGAGGCAGATGGTGGCCTCAGGGAACAAGACTCTGATGGGGACATCTGATAAAATTGGAGGCTCTGATGGGACACCCGATGTAAAGGGGGATTCTGATGGGGACACCTGATGTAAAGTAGGACACCTGATGGCTGTTTATTTAATATTTATTTTTGTACTTTATTTTGCATAAAACATTTAACAGTGTTATTTAATGAGATAATTTACGAGGGCGTGTTTAGGGGCAGAATTAGGTGCAGGGCAGGGTAGGGGTAGGTGGCAAGTAACTCTTAACACCTGGCTAGTAGCTCCGGACTTGAAATTTTAAGCCCTGTATATATAATAATTCCTAGCAATACATGACATTGTTTTGATGTCAACTCCAAAATGTTTTAAAAGGTGAACTCAATTTTACTTAATTCTGCTACTGAATCCTGGTCATCAGGGGAAATCTTAAAAGGGCCACGGGTAAAATTAAAAATGTCTTTTTTTTTTTTTACTAAACTACAGGCAAGGCAAAACCATTACCCATTTTATATTATCTGTGGTCCCATGAGGGACAATGCCTGATTTTCTGTCTTTCTTGACATTGTTGTCCCCAGTGCCGGATTATCACACAGGCACAGAAGGCAATGCTGAAAATGGATAACAATTATTGATTAGATCTTGAAAGAAATTTACAAATAAGCTTTTTTAAATTGTTTACAAAAGATAGAAAAAATTAATCAACTCCAAAAAACAAAAACTTTACATTAAAGAATCTATAGAGAAAATACTATATAAATGTAGAGTTTAATCTAGCACTGTTGTCCATAGCGCAAAAAGTGAGTGGAAATATTTCCAGCATTGCCCCACACAGTAATGAACATTGATAGAGTTCCTAAATTTCTCCATATCCAAAACTAATAAATAAAGTGTAAATATAACAACATTTGTTTTTGTTTTGGATAGACAGGGGAAGAATTAAAACCTGTGAGTTTATTTTTTTATTGTTTTTGTCCCATTGGAGAGATTTCCCTTTATTTCTTGTCTTGGAGACATAACAGGAAGTGAGAGGAAATCTCTACAAAATGACAGGACAGCAGACAGTCAAAAATACTTGACAGAGGTCCTAAACCTTTCCTTATCTACCTCATCAATAAATAAATATACAATAAAAGTTTTGTCTATACAGTACATACACTTTAAAGCTGAACTCCTTCACTCTTGCAGAGTTGTACATGCCTCTCTCCTGTAAATAAATTGCTTGCTTTAATTTTGCTTCACACTGAGTTTAATCTGTGAGCAAATCAGATAAAGCTTGCCTCCTTTTGTGGCTGGGGAACATCCAACATCATCTCTTTCTTTCTGAGCCTTACTGTTCCTGATTTGGACCTTCCATTAATTAAATTTCAGTTCTTTTAACTAGTTGCCGACCGCAGATAGCTGAATGACGGCTGCTGCACTGCGGCCGGCAAGTTCTGGGTGGACGTCATGTTACATTCTCCCAGAACGCGCTCTCCTGCGCACCCCCGGGGGGGGCGCACTCGGTGATCTGTGATCGCTGTGTACTATGGACACAGCTAATCATTTGATGTGGTAAAAAAATCCAATCACAGCGGCCTTTTACCACGTGATCAGCCATGTCCAATGACACGCTGATCACAAGGAAATGCAATTTCCGGTT